GGTCTGGGGCAGGGAGCTGGACTGCACCGGGTGGATTTCCACCTCGGGCTGGACTGGGGGGTGACAGAGAGCGGGGAGGGGTTTGGGGAGCGCAGCACGGCCCCTTGCCCTCTCCCTGGGCAGCAAGAGCCTGGCTCCGTCCTCCCGATGCTCGCCCTTGGTCCCGCAGCCTTTTCCCCAGCCCTGCTCGCTGCTTCCCCCGTATTTACCAAAGCCTGGAGACTCCTCAGTCCTCCTCGAATGGAAACTCCATCATTTCGTCATCTCTGTGCCCAACACGGCCCCCAACCACCACATCCCCACAAGGTTTCTCTGATCACAAACAGCAGGTCCAGCGGGCGCCTGCCCTCGCTGGCTCCTTCACCCAGCACTGATGTCCCCCACGCTGCAGGAGCCTCCGGGGCTGCTCCCTCTCTGCTGTGTTGTATTTCCAGCAGATATCGGGAAGTTGGAGTCCACCACAGGGAGAAGCCAATACAAGACTTCTCCCCGCTGCCTGTGCAATATTTGATGTGTCTCTTCATCCTGGTCGGGTGGTCTGTGACAAACTCCCACCATGAGATCGGACTCGTTGGCCTGCCCCTTGATTCTCGCCCATAGCCACTCGACCCTGTTGTCCCTGTCGCTGCTCTCTGGGCAGTCATAGCACTCCCTGACACATACGGCCACCCCACCACCTTTCCTTCCTTGCCTATGAACCCATCTATGGCAGCACTGCAGTCCTGTGAATCACCCCACCGCCTTCCCGTGATAGCTGCTGTGTCGTGGTTACCCCATGCACAGCGGCTTCCAGTTCCTCCTGCTCGTTGCCCACGCAGCATGGATTGGTGTGGACACGCTTCAGTCGGGATGGAGCCTCTGTCAGCTTTTGGCAGGGAGAAATCCCAATTTCTGCCATTCCCAGGAGCTCCTGTGGTCACTAACCCGTCAGTAACCCCACATCCTGGCTGCTCTATGGATCTCCATCCCCTACCTGCACTGGCACAGCAGTCCCAACATTCTCACCAGCGCAGTGTCCCACAAATGTGGTGCTTCACCCACAGGCTCATCTCCAGTGAGCTGTGTTACATCCCCTTCCTCATTCAGATCCACTCTCAAGCCCTGTCTGTGAGCCCTGCTCACTCTCGTCCCAGGATGCTTTTCCCCTTGGAGACAGATGCACCCCATCTGCTGCCACCAAAGCTGGTGCAGTGTGAACTGATCCGAGATTGAAACCCCAAAGTCCTGCCTGTGGCACCACTCTCTGAGCCAGGCATTGCTCTGCTGGGTCCATACCACCCCAGATCTCCCTGACACTGGTGGGACAGAGGAGAACAGCGCCTGTGCTCCCCATCCCTTAACTCCGGTTGTTCTCTCCATCCCTTTAACACCGCTTCTGATCCCATCCCTTAACACAACTTGTGGTCCCCATCCCTTAACGTCGCTGGCTCATGGGCATCTGCTGCCCACCAGGACCCCCAGCTCCCTGACCCTGTGCTGCTCCCCAACAGCTCAGTCCCAGCTGGGGCCCGTCCCTGCGGTCCCCACGCAGGAGGGCGCAGGGAGCCGTGTCCTCAGCAAAGAGTTGGGGTTGTGCCCACCCAGCGAAACGCCCCCCGCTCACCTCTCCTGCACACGGCGAAAGGGCTCCACGCTCTGTAGTTGTTCCTGCAGGCGGTGTCCACCTCCGCCCGTTTCTGCTCCAGTAGCTCCGCTTGGCTGTTCCAGTTGCGGGCATCGGGCTCCCCCTGGGGGGTATCGGCCACAAAGTGCCCCACGTCGCTGTCGTAGTGCGCGTACTGCTGCCGGTTGTAGACGAACCGCACCACCAGCCTCACCCGCTCGGTGCCGTTGGTGAAGTAACAGTCGGCCTTAAACTGCTCCTGGAAATACCCTGCGGTGCACACACGGCGAGCTCAGGCTCCGGACAGAGCTTTGGGGCGAATCCCCCCACCCCAGCCCGTGCCGCTGGGCTCACCCGA